TGCATATATGTATAAAGTGTTACTATTAAACACAATGCTATCTCTAGGGGGGGAATTAACTGCATAGGTTAAAAAAGAAAAACAAAAAACCATGTGCAACATCTTAAGCCAGTAAAGCACCAAAATAAAAAAAAAAATTAAAAAACCCACCAAAAATCACTTTTCATAATGATTAACATAGAAGCACAAAATATCGACCAAAATATCGACTTAAATATTTTTAAGTGTGGGGGATGAGCTAAAAGGAATGAATGAAGCAGGGGAAAAGACTAAAAGCTAACTGCCCTGAGGGGATTCCATTCGCCAGAGAGGGCATTAAAATAATGCATTAAACTTTGTAAAGAAATTTTCTTTTCTTTTCTGTTGTGTGACGTGTTCCCCGCCAATGCCCCTATGCTAAAGGCCGGGCCCCCTGCGCATCCCGCCCTAGGAAGTATTACAGCCTTGGGAGGCGGATCTAGTGGGAGCAAGTTAGCTCCCTGGCAGGTGTTGCTTCATTCCCGCATTCCTTTGCTTCACCACGCTGTGGGTTTGAACAGGCAGGCCCCTCTCCGACACTTCATGCTACCCCAGGCCCGTGTCAACAGAGACGAGCAACCAGGGACTGACCCTCCGATTCCGCAAGCCCAAGCTCACCTTCCCTCCTTGTAAGTTGTTTCTCACAGATGGTTTTCAACAGTAACGAAAACCTGGTCTGGTTTCCAGCAGCTTTTGTTGCGAGGTTATGTTGTGAGGTGCCATCCCTGCCCTATGGCGGACGGAGAGCCCGTGCCCATCTGTTTACCGGGACTACCTTCACCTAGTGCTCTTACCCAACCAGCCCCCCCCACCCCCCCCACACACACAGCAGATCATCGGATCCAAGATGGAGACCCAAGGACCCGACAGGACACAGTGAAGATGTGACTTTGGAGAGGACAGCCGCTCGGCAAAGCTGTTTCTTTCCTGGGCAGCTGATGACGCTGAAAATCCAAAGGACCATGAGTGCCAGAATGAAAGGGGGCCATGGTAAGGGGCAGATCTGCGCAGTAAAGGGAGAGGGAAGAATTGTCAAGACAAACCCAAGGGCATCAGACGGGAGATATGTGAGCGGCTGACTGACTAATGGGAAAGCGTGGTCTCCAAACTTGTTCACTTACTGGTTGATTTTTCTTTTCAGGAAAGGCATTGAGCACAAGCCACGTTCTGTTTCCTGTAGCTAGTGGCTAGGCACACCAGACAACTGGACGTGACCCTCATCCAAGGCACGGCAGAAGGAGAGCTGCTTTGGGCTCAGTCGTGCCTGGTGATAACTCAGATCTCCCAAATCACCCTCTCCATCCCTTGTCTGTTTGCATCCTTTAGCAGATGGAGTGAGGAGCAGCAGTCCAGACACTGAGGTCATCTCTCCCTCCCTCCCACCCACCCATCCTGGCCTACGGGGATTGACCAAAGCTCCAATATTCTGGCTCATGGCCCAGGATGACAGTGGTGCCAAGAGCATCATGGGAAAGGACCGCGTCCGAGCCTGTGGATCTTACGTCAGTTTCAGGCTCTCTGGAGGGACAGGCTGTGGTCAAGTCACCCCCTTACTTGAGGCCAACTGCCACCCGCTAGGCAAAGCTCGGGGCAGGAGCTCTACACGTTCCCCGAAGTGGGAGGGCCTGCAATTTGTTTAGGGGCCAGCAGAGGGTGGGGAGAAATTTCTGGAATGTGTTCTGGGAAGTACTGGAAAGCTCCGTCACACTGGGTGCACCAGAACCCCATCATGCAGTTGGTGAGTTAGCACCAAGGGGACTCTCTGACCTTAAGGAGCCCCCTGTGAATGGAGCCATTCTGCTGGGAAGGTGCCACTTCATCCCGGCCCATGGTCCACAGTCTTCATTTTTGCATAGGCTGCTTTCATGGGCAAGGTGACTCCCCAGGGGAACTCTGGATGCTGCCGAACACAGGCCTTTCCTGCTACATCCTCTGTAGCCATTGGGCCACCTGCTCCTCCCGGGCAAATGCTGCTGAAGAGGCATTCTGTTGTCGTCTATACCTAGCTGTATTGTGTAATAGAGGGACAGTAATATTCTGTACTCAGGGGACGGCCTTGAGTGGGAATGTGGTACTCTCTGCCGACAATCCCAGTATGAGCTCACGGAGGCACAATGGTGCCAAGTCTTAGGACCATCAGCTGACAAAGAGACTGATCTCAAGGTGGGGTGCAGCCAAGGTCCCTGGATGAATCTGGGCTGATGAATCGGAGGCTGACTGGAACTGCCCTGGGAAGGTTTTCATCAGACCCACCCCTTCATCCACACAGCTGTGGCTTCCCCCAGGGTGGCATCGACCCCTCCTCAAACAGCGATGGTCCTCTCCTCACTCACACAGCCCACCCAGGGCTTAGACATGCTTGTGAACTAGCTGAAAACCCCCACACCTGTCTCTGCAGTGGTCCACATCTGCGTGCTTCCCTAGAGTGCTTGGGAGGGACGTCCCCATGCTCTCCACACTTGCCTGAAGGGAGGGTGGGGTGCCCAAAGAGCTTTTGAAAGGTTGTGTAAAGGGTTAATCCTGATTCTGTCTCCATAGGACAGTGAGTAGCCAATCAGATGCTGCACCTCACAGAATTGGCTAGACTTTCAATCCTGGGGTGATAGAGAGAAGGTTATAGTGTGAAGGTGTCCTCAAGGGATTCCTTGGGCAGAGAAGCCGGACACGATCAAACTAACCCACATGTGAGAAGCTCAGGGCCAGTCGCTTCCTTCCCATTAGGGTATCCCTGGAAATGAACTCTTGCTGGTAGCTGAGGCCATGGGTGTGGCACCCATCTCATGTTTTAACGCAGGCAGATGTGGCAGAAAGGAAGAGCAGACGGAATGGACTGTGGGTGTGGAGTGGCCCGTGAGGGGTTACCGAGGGCTGGTGAAGGATGTAGGCTCTGGGTTTCCCCATATCTACCCAAAGAAAATGTCCTCCACCCCACAGTCTATATCTCCCACTGTTCTACGGAGACGCGATCCCCATGTCCTCGCCCCTTGAAGCAGGGGAGAGATTTCCCCCACCACTGGAATATGCTCGGAGGGAAGGGCTGTAGTTTCCGAGATGAGGGTATAAAAGGCAAATCCAATCCCGTCTTAGTCCCTCCGAGGGAAGCTGGGCTCTATGCCTTACATTCAGTAGCTCCCCTGGAGAGGCATTAAGGCCCCCAGCCTCCGGGAGGCACCAGCTCACCCCGCACGTGGATGGGCTGCCTCAGGACCCGACGGCGCGGCTCCTCCAGTCACCAGACGGTAACTGGCTGTCTTGGCCACTTTTCTGGGGCTGTGCTAAAACACCATGAACAAGGCAACTTAAGGGAGACCGTTTGTTTTGGCTTCCAGATCCAGGCGGGTAAGAGTCCACGACAGTGGAGCAGGAGCCTGTCAGCAAGCAGCAGGGACAGGAAGCTGAGAGCTCACATCTTGAACTGCCGGTCTAAAGCAGAGAGCGCAAGCTTCAAACAGGCCCTAAGCTCTCCAGTAGTATACCTCCTCCAGCGGGGCTGCACCCCCCTCCATCAATAAAACAGCACCCCCAGCTGGGGACCGTGTGTTCAATGCTTGAGGCTATGAGGGACATCTCACACTGGCCTTTGCCAACAACTAGAAAGGCCTCCAAGTGAGGACTACCAGGTCCACACTCTTCCCAAATTCTCCATCACCACAGGCAGAAATGATTGGGGTTTCAGCCACTATTGAGGTGACGGTGTCGTACAACTAAAGGACCACAGACAGAGTCTGCGGAACAGAGGGCTTCTGGGAAGAGAGTCGTCCTGGAGAACCAATCAGGCCACCACGCCGAGAACAGCTCCTAGTGCAGACGGAGTAAGAGCTGTGCGATTAACTATGGGAAGTGCCATAATGGCTCTAAATATTGTCCCTGTCACAGAAGCCCAGCAAGTGTCCCATGAGATGCCCGATGTGGGATCATCACATCATGCCTGATGCAGAGCTGAGGCTCAGTCAGCCACAGTCACCATCTGTAGCATAGATTCTGTACCATAAGGTGGGCCAGTCGAGGTGCTAAGAGGAGGTGAGGCTGTGGGGACAGAGAGAGGCAATTATGAAAGTGTGTCTTCTGTGTTTATAGCCCCCTTCTTTGGATGCCATGTCCTTTAGAAAGACGTTTAGTCAAAGGAAGAGCAAACCCTGAAGAGGAATGGTTTCAGGAAGGCGGGAGCATTCTTTATTACAGTGAAAAGGCCCACAAGTAAGCTTCAAAGGTTGGTTGGAGGCTCTTTGATAAGAAGAACCTTTGATAAGAAGGGGCGGGAGAGATGGCTCAGTGGTTCTGAGCACTGGCTGCTCTTGCACAAGTCCTGGGTTCTATTCCCAGTACCCTGATTAGGTAGCTCACAATCACCTATAATTCCAGTACCAGGGGGGATTCAAAGCTTGCTTCTGGCATACACACACGCATGCACGCACGCACGCACGGCTCCATTCCCAAGATCATCTCATGGTCTAAAATGGTAACTTAGGTACCAACCTTGTGTTGGTCAGTCTTTCATTGCTATGGAAACGCCTGAGAGAAACAGTTTGGAGGAGGAAAGATGCATTTGGCCTACCGTCCCAGAGGCTGTAGTGCTTGGCTGGCTCCGTTGCTTTAGGCCTGAGGCAGAGCATCGTGGCAGAAAGGATGGGACAAGGCAGAGATGCTCGTGGAGAGAGCCAGCAAGCAGGGAGTCAGAAAGAAGAGGATGGGGACAAGATCCTAGAGAGCACTTGCTCCAATCCGGCCCCACCTTTCACAGTTTCTACAACTTCCCAGGAATTCATTCAATGATGGCTCCATCAGTAGACTGATCCATTAATCGAGTCAGAGTTCGAATGAACCAATTATCTCTCCATGATTGGCTCACCAGCTCGGGACCAAGCCTTCTACACTAGAACCTTTTGGGGGACCCTCATGCACAACTTCAGGTGGAGTTTTCCTGTCCCAACTGACTGCTCCCAAATAACCGGTAGCTGCTTCTCAAATAACTGACTAGGAGACTAATATAAATTATAAATGCTCGTTCGATAGCTCAGGCTTGATACTACCTAACTCTTACATTTAAATTAACCCATATTTCTTATCTATGCCTTGCCATGTGGCTCATGGCTTGTCACCTCATTTTCTACATGCCCTGCTTCCTTGGCGGCTGGCTGGTGTCCCTTCTTCCCATCATTCTCCTAGTTTGGTGGTTCCGCCTCTAATTCCTGCCTGGCTACCAGCCAATCAGCTTTTTATTAAACCAATTCCAGTGACAAATCTTTACAGTGCACAACAGGATTATTCCACAGAACACAACCATTGCATCTGGATTTATCCACCTAGGAAACAGAAAGGACAAGGAAGAAAGAACCATTACCTCTATTACCAGGAGGGAAGGAGGAGGAGGAGGGATGAGGGGGATGGATAAGGTAAAGGAGGAGAATGAAGAAGGAAGGGTGGAGGAGGGATGGAGGAAGAGGAGGAAGGGGAGGAAGGGGAAGGGGAGGAAAAGCTAGCTATTGCTCATCAGCGTCTTTTTGAAGGACACTCACGTGAAGCCCTCCTCCTCAACAGGTTTGAGTGGAGCACATGAAGAACCATGATGTTCTTCACTCAGATCTCCTCTCCACACCCCAGCAGCCGAGCACCCTGGGGTTCTGTCTTTTGCTTTTTCTCAGGTGGCCCTGGTTGTGTCTGCGACGCCTGTGGAATGGGGGACCCTGAAGCGAGGCTTAGCTTTTGTCGTGGGCTAACCCTCAAAGCTCACAGACAGTTCTTGTAGAAAGTCCTTAGACTTATTTTTAGAATGATTCCACCCTGTTTCTTTCTGCCACCGCCACCTCCCCCCCCCCTCCATAGTCATCAACCTGCTTGTGACTTGGAAGCAATTGTAAGGCATTTGTCTAAAAGAAAATGAGTTTCATACACAAGTGGTTTCATTTTATGGGGAATGTACTAAATGAGATTGTTTTTTTTTAAAGAGTAGCCAAGACAAAGGCATTTAAGGATCAGATACCTACAATGTCTGTGACCCCAGGGAAGAGGGCCCCCTGTTATAGAGAGTAGTCAAAGCTACTAGAGTTTGTATCTGGACTATCCCTGAAAGGCCTGTGGTAAAATTCAGCCTCCAGCCTGCTTCACTATTCAGAGGTAGAGGAACCTTTAGAGGGGACCTAGTGGAGGAACTCCATCCTTGAGTCCCCTTGAAGGGTAGGCGCTGGGGGCTCTGGGCTCTTCTTTCCCTTTCTTTCCCATGCACATAGGAGGTGGGTGACTCCCCATCCCCACAGTACCACAATGTACTGCACCACCACTGGCCCGAAGCAACAAAGCCAACCCAACATGAACCTAGAACCCCAAAACACCGGGGAAAGGTGAGTATCAGTTGGTTACTTAAGCGTTTTGCTAAAGGAACAGAACTGACCGATGCAAAGAGAAAACAAACCCGTACCCGTCCGGAGCTGGTTCGAGACCACCGTCTGCTTCCAGGTCTTTAAACAGCTGAGTAGATGTTGAAGTGCCCCCTTCTCTCTTCCCACAAGGGTCATTCCTGCACGTTATAGGAAGTTTTCAAGTGTTTGGGGAGCGCGGGGTGGGGGTGGGGGGCAAACGTGATGGCTTGATGTAAAGATGTGTCCTGTGAAGCCAGCGACCCGAGTCCAATCCTTGGGACGTATGTGGTAGGAGAGAACTGACTCCTGCAAGTTGTCCTCTGACCTCCACACACGGAGCACACAGACAATAGACAAACAAAAAAACTGATGATTTTGGTCATTTGACAGAACTGAAACAACCTGGATTGTCAATCCGAGACCTTGGCTTCTCAAAGGCACTGCTTTTTTTTTTTTTGGCCTCAACCTTTTGTCACTTATCATAGTTAAATCTGATTTTTGCAGTCCGACTTCATTGTTCTTCTTTTCAAGGGTGTTTCCTCGAGGCAGACCAGTCAGATCTAGTTCTCACCCGTCCCTCTGTGTGTGCACTGCACTACTCTTGTACCTGGGTCACTGCCACAGCCCTTTAATACGCTGTTCGGCAAAGCGGAGACGCTAGGCTGTGGGGGCTGGAGCGGGGCTAAAACCCGAGGAAATGGTGAAACTATTGAAGGCTTGAGTTCATCTCTTCCTTCAACCAAATTCGAGGATTCCCACTTGCTCCTGAATTACTCCCGCGGCCGCTGGGCACTTACACATCATTGAGCGGAGAGGCGCTCTCTCAGAGGGTCCGACCCGCTCTCATCGGTGACTCCCCCATGCATGCTGGAATGACGACTGCTCTCCAGCTGCCAATCTGTGCCGTCTACCCACGGGCACTTTCAGAACATGGTGTCAACAAAACGTTACATCCCAGCAGAGGGTGTGCCCAGCACGCTGGCACCCACCAGGGTTCATCTGAGGTTCTGCGGGCTGGGAAACAGAGACCATCATCAAGGTTAGTAGGTGAAATTCAGTTCCGACTTTGGAAGCTGTTCTTGTGGGGAGAGAAGACACAGAACCCTCACGCACCCCATTCACGCACCCCACCCAAGCATGTGAGACTTGGCTCCCCCCCCCCCCGCCCCGGTACTTTCCTGAACCTGAGATGTGTGTTTGCACATGGCAACGCCCACCTCCAAACAGCATCTTGCAACTCAGCCAGATTTTCTGCTGAGCCAGCCAGCCACTAGGAACAAATACTGGGGTCTATGACAACCACAAGTGTGTGTGTGTGTGTGTGTGTGTGTGTGTGTGTGAGAGAGAGAGAGAGAGAGAGAGAGAGAGAGAGAGAGAGAGAGA